GTAAATAAAGAAGTAAAGCAAACAATTATCTCTTCTAGTTATGAACTTTGTACTTGTATGCTGCTTGCTATAAGTTGCTTAGCCTTGTCAAATTTCACATGTAGAGGATTTAAAGCAAAATAACTTTTTTTAGGTTTTATATATGCATTTTGAAATAGCAAAAAACATAAATTACCATATCAATACCAAGAATTCCACTATAATTTATCTAGCTTAGTAACTAAGCTGTATTTGTGTCTAAAAAAATATGATTTTTCGAACTCACTAATGTCTTAATTTACTGCCTGGAATCTAGCATGAAAAAGAAATAATTTCCCGTGCAAATACTTCACAGACACTGAGAAAACCACTAGGGGGACATTCTGAGTTTTTGATTGATTATACACACGTCATTGGGTGAAGTAGGTGTACGTAAGCAAGTATTTTCAAAAACGTAAGAGGAGGGCAGGGCCACTTTGGTTGGTTTAATAAATATATTAATATGTCAGAAAAGTGAAAAGATAGGAGGTTCTTATCTTATATTCTAGCTTGTCAGTAATTTGAGTATGTAATTTGTAAAAAAACCCATAGACTTTGTATTTGGACATCACAAACATCTAATTTAAACCAATGCTGCATTCAACATACCACATGACACACAAAATTCAATATTTTTGATTTTTTTTTAATATTTACTTTTAAATTAAGAAACTAACTAAAGTATAATACTAAAATTTGAATTATAGTCTGCAGTTTCATACCAAACTTATTGACATACATTCATAAAATAGTAGTTCAATAAAATTTTGAATGTGAGTCTGCAAATGCAATGACATGGCCTTCGACCCATGACCATAGTAAGACCTGTGTTGGTTGGTAGGGTTAAAACACTTGTACCAAACAAAGACAAAGCAAGTTCTAGTTTACCACTGAAATTCAGACAAAAGGTTAAAACTGAAGTATACCAAAATCCAATGCATCACATGTCACGGACTTTTTATGTACAAAAGACTTCTAATGTTTACAAAAAGTCTGCCAAATTTTGTGAAGATATAGAAAGTGTATTAAAAGTTATAGTATGAAAACTGAAAGAAATACAAAATGGTTACGAGGTTGGTCAATTTGACTGACTTCATAGCGAGAGAGTTAACAAGTATGTGTTTAAGTACATGCAGAAACAGCATGAAAATTTAAAAAAATTACATGAATATATCTGACTGGAGATATATTCTAAACTTGTTATAGAAGGGTGAAATTTATGACTATTTTTTAAGTTGTATGTATATTTTTTTATTCATTAAAACTTGTCTATTATCATTGTTGTGACCTAAGGATAACTCCCTTTCTCCATAGTCTGTTTTTAAAGATATTACTGAATCTTTAGAGTCACATGTGGAATCTGTGAGGCAACACTTAATGCTTTCTTTTTTGGTTGCTCGTTTGTCTCAGCCAGCTCCCATACCATCTATACCTGTTTTCCATCCTGCACCCCTACCATCCTTTGCCTATTCCTTCTTCCATGGGTTCATCATTTGGCTTGCTGTCATGCTCATTGCTGCCAACAATTCCAGAGACTATCAAGTGGTTTTCAGCCTAGTAGAGGCATGTTTCTGCAGTTTTGTTCACCTGTGGCGAGAGTTCACTTCTGATCAGATGGGTGAACAGGGTTTTATCAGATAGACTTTTTCATCATTTCCTCTCCCCTCCTCCTTTGTCTCCAGTCCCAATATCCTTCTCATTACCTTAAGATCCAGCTACCAGTCAGCATCTACCTGAGGTTGTTCAGACTCTTCTCTCATTTAAGCCTATCAGCCAGCCTTCCCCAGGCTTTTTATCATCCCTTAAAAGACTGGGGACGGGTGTCCTGTGATTGATCTGCCCCACCTCAACCAGTTTCTGGATCCTCCCGCTTTACCATGTAATTATTTCTCACCCTTTAATGGGCTTTTTCTTCAGGTCTTTGAAAGACCAAGGTGGACCTCTTTGATGCTTATCTCCATATCCCCATTTTTCATCAGTCCCGCATTATCTTTGGTTTGTCCGCAACGGGATTGTCTTTCAGTTTTGCACTTTAGCTTTTGGGCTGGCTT